GTACCAGTGCGAATCACGTAAGAGCAGCGAACAGCAGTGAGAGACCCTCCACTCTGAGCGTACCACTCACGAAGCTGGCGAGGCGTGAGAGACACGCGAGAGGGTCGCGGGAGCTGCATCTGGCCGCCACCACGAGTAGAAGCAGCAGGAGTGGTAGTAGGAGTAGCGTCGCCACCCCTACAGCCCCAACCAGCGTACCACTCACGCAGCTGCTGGGGCGTGAGGGACTCACGCAGGCGTCGCTGGGGCTGCATCTGGCTCCGCAAGTAGAAGCAGGAGCAGGACTAGCAGCAGGAAGGCAGGCAGCCAGGCAAGCCAAAAGGCAGGCAGGCAGGCAAGCAGGCGACGCGCAGCGTGCTAGCAGGGCAAGAGCTCACCATTGGTGGGAAGAGTAGGCTCGGCGACTCAGCGGCTCGGCAGCTCGGCGGCTCGGCGGCTCGGGCGACTCGGGCGGCTCGGCGGCAAGGCGGCTCGGCAGCAACTGCAGCTCAGCAGCTCGGTGACTCGGCGGCTCGGCGGCAGGGCGGCTCGGCAGCAACTGCAGCTCAGCAGCTCAGCGACCCGGCGGCTCGGCGGCAGGGCGGCTCGGCTGCTGGGCGGCTCGGGTGCAGGGCGGCTCGGCGGTGGGGCGGCTCGGCTGCTGCAGGTGAGCGGCTCGGCTGCTGCAGTGGGAGATGAAGGAGGAGGAGAAGCAGGGGAGGCCACACACCTGCCACCCCTCTGCTAGCGGCCCCCGAAGGAGCCGCGACGGGCGACGGGAAAAGGGGGGGGGGGTGGTGGGGGCCGGTAGGTGCAGTGGCGGGGCCAGCAGGTGCAGTTGCGGGGCCGGTAGAAGGGGACGGCAGGAGCCGTCAGGAGGGGACGGCGGGGCCATCAGGAAGGGACGGCGGGGCCGTCACGAAGGGACGGCGGGGCCGTCAGGAGGCGACCGGGCCGCGACGGGGGCAGGCGGCGGGGCCGCGTAAGGGCCTGGGCGGGGCCGCGACAGAGCCGTCGGCGGGGCCGCGTGAAAGCCGGGGCGGGGCCGCGTAGAAGCCGGGGCGGGGCCGCGCGAGAGCAGGCGGCGGGGCCGCGAAGGAGCCGGGGCGGGGCCGCGTGAGAGCAGGCGGCGGGGCCGCGTTAAGGCCGGGGCGGGGCCGCGACAGAGCCAGCTGCGGGGCCGCGTGAGAGCAGGCGGCGGGGCCGCGTAAAGGCCGGGGCGGGGCCGCGACATCCGGCTGCGGGGCCGCGTGAGAGCCGGCGACGGGGCCGCGTAAGGGCCGGCGGCGGGGCCTCGTCAGAGAGGGCGGCGGGGCCCCGTCAGAGAGGGCGGCGGGGCCGCGTCAGTGAAGGCGGCGGGGCCGCAGGGGAAATGACGACCCGAGGGGTCGCTAAAAAAAAAAAAATCGCGCCTCGGGGGGCGCTTCGGTGGGCCCAAAAAAACGGTCCGTAGAAGGACCCGCTCTATACCATGTGAGAATAAGCGAACAGGAATGAATGAACTAGAAGTGAAATGAGTACAAGTAGTAAACCCTAGAATTGTGTACCCCCTATAGGCTAACCCACTGTAGCCTACACAAGCATAACATGTATGATGTTTGACAGCGTCGTGCAGCCGTGGACATTCAGCTCTCGCAGCAGCGTCATGTACCGCAGCTCTTGTGATGGCAGGGACTGAAGCTGCTCACAGCCACTCAGATCCAGCTCCCTAAGCCTCGTCAAATGGTGGAGGCTGGGAGGGAGGAAGTGAAGCGATGTATTGCTAACATCCATTCTGTGCAAGTAAGCGAGGTCGGTGATAGAAGAAGGCAGACTTGTCAGGGAGGAGCAATTGTGAAGGCTGAGATCACCCAGTCGTGATAAGAGAGAAAGGTTTTCCGGAAGATGGGTCGGACTAGGAGTTTCAAGATGAAGAGATCTGAGTTGCGCAAGGCATGATACACTCTCTGGAATCTCCAGCAGCGATTTTGCCCCTTCCACATGCAGCTGCCGCAGCTGAGGCAGAGAAAAGCCGATATCATGAGGCAGGTGCTGCAAGGACTTGGCACGTGAGATGTGAAGAACGCGGAGGGATGAAAGGAACCGGAGAAGGAGTGGAAACTCGGTTTGTTCAGAGCTGAGGCGCATCTCCAGGTGCTCAATCCGAGAGAGGCAACGGCTGCTGGCTAGTGCGTCCATGACAGTAACCTGAGTTAACCTCAAAATCCTCAGATTTGGGGTCGTTGACATGTCAGGCAGAATGACGCTGCTGGTGTCATTTCCCAATCTCAAGGTTTCCAGCGACCGTGGCAAAGTTTCCAAAGGTTCCTTTGAGAGATCACAACCCGTCAGATCCAGCTCCCGCAGGCATGAAAGGTATCCCATGGCTCGCGGTGCAGAAGCGAGTTTGTAACATTTTTTAGCCTTGAGAGTCTGTAGGCGGCTCAGCTGAGTGATGGATTCTAACAGTTCTGACAACTCCTTGCACCAGCTCAATGTCAACTCTCGCAGGTCACTCAGCTGGCCTGTACCCTCTGGAAGGTGAAAGATGGGACAGTCTGAGATATCAATCCGTGTTAGAGAAGAGAGACGACTGAATGACGACGCCAGCAGTTGCAGGGAGGCACATCTGCTCAGCACCAAAATGCGGAGGCTGCTCAACTTGCCTATCTCCTCTGGGATTGAAGTCATCATTGCTTCCCTGATGCTCAACGAGTGAAGAGCAGTTAAGCTGGAAATTGCTGCAGGGAGGATGTCAATGCCCCCACAGTCCATGACCAGCTTCCGAAGCCCGGTGAGTAACCCAATAGAATCTGGAAGTTTCCTCAGCGTCTAGCTTCTCAACACTATGGACTTCAGCCTTGAAAGATTTCCAAGATTTTCAGGTAGGCTGGATATACCGCAGTAGGAAATTGTGAGAATCTCCAAGGTGCTGATGCTTGTGAGGGAATCTCGCAGCTCAGTCAAATCTCGGCTTTCGGAAAGGCAGAGTTCGAGAAGCGTCGGAAATCGTTCGCCAAGATCTTCAGGTAAGATGTCCGGGACATGGGTTAGCAGCAGACGTTGAAGGCGGAAGAACGGTAATTCCGACGGAAACATTGAAGGGAAATCCGTCGACCCGTGCACGAATCCCAGCGAACGAAGCGTCGACAGTTGGCCAAATGAGAAATTCCCTTCAAAATCGTGGAACGATGTCTCTCCTGGAAAGAACAGACTGGTCAGATTTGGAAGGCTGGTTAATGGCGACATCTGATGCAGTCGCATGTCCAACTTTTGAATCGAAAGCTTCGTGAGAGAAGATAGATTGGCGAAGTTGGGATCCTCCAGAGGCAGTATTCCCCCCAGTGAGAGCGTGTGCAGGCGCGTCAACTGGAAGAAGGAAGAAGGAAGATTCGTTGTCCGATGAAGACACTGCAGTGTCAGCTGCTCCAAGCGGCGACAATGGCGGAAGAGACTATCCAGGCGAGGTGCAGTGACGGGGTGGTCCGAATCTTCAATGGAAGTCGTCGGTTCCTCGTCATACTTGAGGACTTCGTCGAAAGCAATGCCTGTGCCGACATAAAGAACAGTTAGCTTCGGAAAGGAAGAGGCGAGAAAGGCTAGAAAATCGTTGTCGATCATTTCCATGCTTCCTTGACTCAAGTGCAGGTGAGTGAGATGCGGAAAGGTCACCAAAACGCGTTTCAGATCCTGGCGAGAAACCAGCCGATCTTGTAAAATGTGAAGCGTGGTGACGGATTCGTGTGTGAGCTCCCGCCAGCGACGGCAAACGGAGGCGATGAGGAGAGCGTGAGCGACATTGGCAGATGCTGGAGGCGTCGTAAAATGTGGATCAGGGCCTGGATCTGGTCCGTTCCATGGATAAGCGTACTCGGAGAGAGACAATGAAGTCGTCGGCCGGAAAGCATCAGAATACCAGAAGATCCTGACAAGAGCATCGTCAGGAAGACAATGGATGCTTGTGGAAGACATGTCCTATAGTTGACCTGCGAGGGCTCGGATTTCGAATCTCGGAAACAACTCCCTACTCTTGTGAGACCACCTTAGGAGAGGAATCTATAAGACAAGGAATCAAGATAAGAACACAACGGGAGATTTCAGGCCTGCTTTTCTGGACAATGCAGCTTCTTACTGTTAGGACCAATGTTGTCTGAATCAATCCAGCATGTACAGAGCAAGAGCAGAGAGCAGAGAGCATAGTGTAACCCGCTAAATCCCGTTTGTGTGACGGAAGGCCAGAGAGCAGGAACGCGAGCAAGCAATCAACGGAGCAGGGCTGCGTACTTTGCTTCACCTGGGTCGAATGTGCGTGTAGGGAGGGGGAGTCGAACCGTTGTAAGTTGTTTGTAACCCGCTGTTCTCGAGATTTCGGTGGGACTCCGCCATCCTGGCACCACGTCATGCTCCTGTCCTCCTGACACTGTGAGAGCGACGAAACGACTGCATTGTACGATTTCATAGTGAGCACATTGATTGTGTAAGGATTTCCAGAATCCTTACTGAGGCACTCGTTAGCGAGGCCATCCCGAGGGTCACACGACGAACCTGTCCTTCCTATTTCGTCGCACCGAACCACCCCCGAGTCGCCTCCGCACCAATCGCATCCATCACCGAGCCATCCTCGCCCAACCTCCCCGCCTTGCTAGGACTTCCCCTATTTAGGCTTCGTCACTTCCATTGTACCGGTATCGTCATTCAGTAATTCGGTAATCAGTTCATTCTCGTTATTCGATATTCTGCGCACTCTGCAAGTTCATTCAGAACAGATTGGTATTGTGAAGAATGACTTGGGAATTTGGAACAACCTACTGGTATTTTCCCAACATTGTAGCCTTCTCTCACACGTTCTAGTGATGGGACACGTGAAAAATCAGGCTGCCCAGTTCACCATAAATGAGTTGCTGCAACATCCAGGAAGTGTCACGTTCCATAATGAATGACCCCCTAATTTAGGGCATCTATACAAAGCAACATTTTCCACCTCTTCGAACCAGGAGCAACGCAACCGTGAAAACATAAGGCATATCTTCAAAAACAGCAAGTCACCACCACCTCTTCTCCATCTTCTTTTTGAGCTGTGCTGCCAAGTCACTGAACTCAGCTGTATCTGCCTCCAGCTCATCCGCCATGTCGTTCAGTTTCTGCCATGCAAGCATTGGAGCAAGACATGAGCGAATTTGACGTGGGATGAGAGACGTGAGTGAGAGCTGGAAAGTGAAGGGAATGTAGAAAAACAGAAGCGGTGGAGGGAATTGGAAGAGAGAGCTAGGGAATAACTACAGGCAAACAAAAGTAGAGCGCCCTACATGTTGTGGATAGCATGAGATAGGATGGATGGCATGAAACAACGTACACTGATCTTCTCTCCTCGTTCCACCAGCTTGTTCCTTGCATCAGCTGCTGCAGCCCCTGCTGAGCCAGCAGATGGCTGCATGAGACACACGTGGGACACATGAAGAACATGTGAGACATCTGAGGAAGGTGAGAGAGACATGAGGAGCAGGTGAGAGCGATGAGGAGTAGGCCAGAGACATGAGCAAAACGTGGAGCAACAAATTAAGATGGCATTGCCCTGGAAGAAGACCCCCAAGGGAAACACAGAAATGTTACAAGGTGCGAGATAGCACTGTCAAAATGGATATCACGGTGAAGCCAAATCTGTGTGGAAAGTGCCTAGCACTCACGAGCTTCGATTTGTAGTTGTGTGCTGCTTTGATATCGGCCACTGATCGCTGCTTTGGCACCACTGGCTCGGGCTCCTTGGCTGCACGGGTTGGTGTGTGGGAGGCACGGACAAGAGGAACGTGTGAGAGGAGAGGGCAAAGGGGGACGTGTAAGTGGATATGTGAGAGGAGATGCTGCGTTGGCACCACTTTGATTGCCCTGTGGCTTGGGTTCCTTGGCTGCACTGCACAGGAGGACATGTGAGAGGGAAGGGTGATAGGGAACGTGGAGTAACGGGAAAATGGTGAACGAGGATGTGCTACGGGAATTGCAAAAGGGCTACGTGTTAGAGGGGAGGCTGTGTAGGAGATGCAACGTGTGAGGGGCAAGGGCGAATGGGGGTGCTTGAGAGGCGAGGAGAAAAGGTGGACATACACGAATTGTAAACGAGAGCCAGCACTGACTGTTCGAGGACTTAGAACGAGAGACGGGATACCGAGAACGAGGCCTAGGACGAGCACTGACCACTAGAAGAGGCGCTGCTGCTGGTGCTGCTGCCTGAGAACCAGCCGAAGAGACCACTGCTGGATTTGAAGGAGTCTGGTAGTGGGATGGTAGGACGAGTGGGACGGCAGGATGAGAGGGATGGCAGGATGACAAGGATGAGTGCAAGAGAGAGGGGGCGAATAAGCAGGGGGGAAGAAGAGAGGAAAAAGCCGGATGTAGAAAGTGCTGCTGGGAAGAATAGGAGACTGGAGATGGGATGGAGGGGTGTGAGTGGGGAGAGAAAGGGCGGAGAGCGATTGAAAGAGATGATGAGAGACTACTTCTTAAAGAAAAACGGGAAATGTGGAGTGTGCTTTTGCTGCTGATGCTGCTGCTGCTCCAGCTTTTGCTAGTTAGCTCTTCTCACCTGAGCGTCCGAGCCCACTTCCCAGACAGCCCACACACACGCCACTTTCCATCTCACCACCAAACACATAGCCACGCTGTTACCCAGGCACCCCTAGCTCCTTCTCTCTCACCTGACGTGGTAACCACAGGGTTGCGGTCGAGTTTCTTGGCCATGCCATTGAGCAGCTCCTTGAGCACGCCGTCAAACTCGTCAAACTCCACAAACCCACTCTGGTCCTCGTCCGCCTTGCTGAACACCCGCGCACACAGCTCCTCCGCCTCCCCTGGCGTCAGCAGCTGAACCTCGAATGAAGACGCGTATTTCTTGAACCCCAGGGTGATCTCGGAGCGAGAGAGCCGTCCTCGTTTTAGGATGTCCCACTCCATGAACAGCTGGTTTGCCACGGCGTCAAAGCGGTTGCGATCGCCCGTGAGCTGCGGGGGAGGATGGGATCAGAAGGGGAGAGGATGGGAGGGGAGGACGGGGGACATGGAGCAAGCGGAGCGGATTGTAATCGTCTGCCTTTAGTTTGTCTTGTTTCAATGGCTGGGTCAGCCCCTCTGTCGGTCTCCTTGGCCCTCATCATCAGGTGGTTCTTCAAGTCGACAGAAGATGTATTTGTTGGGTTCTTGGTTCTTTTTTTCTATGGTTGGGTCAGTCTCTTTGGTCCCCACCCACCCGCCCACCCACCCCTCGATCGACCCACCTGGCGCACGAAGGAGCCGGTGAAGACGGGTTTCTTCTCGGCTGACAGAATGATGGGGCGCTAACACCACGTTTGCCGTACTGCAAGGTAGTTGGCGCCCCAAATCACACACTAGCCACGCTGGTAAGCAGGAGCCTCTCCATTGACCCACCTGGCGCACGAAGGAGCCGGTGAAGACGGGTTTCTTCTCGGCGGAGAGGATGATGGGGCGGCACGCAAGCTCCTCTGAGAGCTCCTTCACCATGTCCCTCAGCATCAGCTCAAACTCCCCCTCGTCCACCTGCAGGTCGCTGCCTCCGTACTTGCCTATCACTCTTGACAGCAGCGCGTCCACTTCCATGTGGGCTGTGATGTGAAGGGGGGAGAATGAAAATGGAAAGTGGTGGCGAGAGGGGAGGATTTGGACTCCGTTGCTCGAGTGGCTGTTGAGAAAGCCAGAAAGATCGCTCACAAAGTAACGAGAAAAGCCTTCTTTGTCTCACCTGAGGGCGGCACGAGGCCGAGGGAGACGAAGGCGGGCTTGAGCTCGAGGCGAGAGAGTGTGCCGCTGCCGTCCTCGTCAAACTCCTTGAAGATGTCACACGCGATCTCCTTGAACTGCTGCGGGTTGTCAGCCAGTTCCCGCAGCACCCCGCCATCGTACACCTCCACCACCACGGGTTTGGCTGATCAAGGAGGGGGAGGGGAGCATGGGGAGGGAAATAAAGTCCTTCACCTGATCGCCTGGCGCTGAGGGTTGTCCGCTAGCTCCCGCATCACCCCCCAGTTGTGCACCTCCACCACCACGGGCTTGGCTGATGAAGCAGGGAAGCGGGGGGATGGGGGGGAAGTGAAATCCTTGCACAGATCACCTCACCGAGTTGTCTCCCAGGTGTTTCAGCACCCGCCGTCGCACACTTCCACCACCACCGGCTTGGCTCATCAAGGAAGGGGTGTCCCTTCCTGCTAGTGAGAAGTGAGAGAATGGGGAGGGAAGTGAGAATGTCAGCTGCTCGCCTCTCCCGCTGTCTGCTAGTTCCCTCAGCAACCCCCCTCGTACACCTCCACCACCACCGGCTTGGCTGGCAGAGAGGAGACGAGGAGGGGACGGGCGAACATGGGGGTGGGGAGGAGGGAACAGGGAGCAAGGAGCAAGGAGAAAGGAGCACGGAGCACGAAGTGAATTCCTTGTGGTTCTTTTCAAGATGTCGCTTGCCGTCTCCTTCCGACCAGATCCATGCTTCGTGAACGCCTCTCAGGCACTTGAACTGCTTCTTGCTTTCTGAAGCGAGGCCCTCGGGTACTACTAAGGCAAAGGGGGAGGGGGGTGGATCTTTGGGGGGCGATCCCTGGAACGAGTCTCCACTCACCTTCCGTAAATCCTGATCAGCGAATTTTGCACGAAGAAAATGCATATCGGGTCGATTGCTGTGAGGAGTGTGAGAGTGAGATGGTGAAATGTTGTTCCTGATGCACGAATCACAATAGGAACAGCCACCGTACGCCACTGCACGGGCACGCGCCACGTCAACATACGTCACGTCGCCGTATGCTCGTCGTTTCCTGGGGCATACGAGAACGTTTAATTTGGTCTTGGTGCAGAAGTCAATAAACGCTCGATGCACATTTGATTTACCTCGCATTCGATATGCGTCACATTGGCGCTGTCTCGTTTTGATGCGATTATCAGAAAAAAATATGAAAATGTCGATGAATGTCACGGTGGGAAGAAGTGGGAAGGAGAGACCGGTGGTGCTTACTTTCGAGCTCCTGAGAGACGGATTTTAAGAACTCTTTGGAAATCGTGATGAACGACTCTCGGTCGACCTCCTCCGTTAAGTTGTCCGCCATTAGCGTCGTGAACAATCGATCCACTAACTCGTCTCCTTCCGCCGTCGTTCCCGCAGGCGGTAGTCCTAGGAGCGTCCCGAATCGCACTAATGCGGGTTTAAGCTCCGCGCGGGAGAGCTTCCCGCTCTTGTCGTCATCCAGGAGATCGAAGTACTTGTTCAAAAATGCGCTAAATGCCGTCTCGTCGTTGAGTAGCTTCTTAATCTTCTTCCCATCGAGATAGCTTCCTTTTGACAATGATCGCTGTAAGAACGCTGGCTTTTTGAATGCCTTCATGGCGACAACCGAGAGTGAAGGAGAGGGTAGTGAGAGGGAGACCGCTCTTAAAAAACAGCGCGATGAAGCGTCAGATTAGGGAGAAAGCACCTCGAATCTGTACATGGAAGTAATCAGGCAGACTGAACGTTATTATCAGAACTGAAGGTAGAACTAAATATGTGTGACATGGCACCGTACAGGCTTTTTCTGGTTCAGTACGATTCAGCAAGTTTCCACACGGTAAAACGCGGTTCATACTCCTGCACTCTCTGGACCGTAACGCACCCGACGAAACCGAGGTAAATCTCGACTGGCCGGGGGACGCCTGCTGGACTGGAAATCTCGATGTTGCCGAGAAATGTGGAAGGCAGCAATGTCCTAAACGGTGACGAGCTCCAAAGGTGCAAAAGCCGGTGGCCATGTCGACTTCACACCGTACTCAACCACTCAAAACAAAGCGTAACCATACCAGGGTATTCTCAACCATCTTAACCAGAGTACTTGCTGACGTAGCTTCTCAATCACTTGCGCTGTTAGGCCACACACCTTCAGCCAAGGAGGTCAAGTGCCCAGGTGTTAGCCAATGGATGCTTGCCAGGTCTGTCAGCCGTGTGAAGTAATAGGTGCCACGCGAGCTTTTTGTCCTTTTCGGGTGCCCCTACATCATGGCCTGTGGTCCCAAGGGGCCATGCCAGCCATGTCATGCTGGCACCATACGGTCTACTATTCTGCTAGCGGAAGCGCATTTTGGGTGCTTGACATGACATTTGTAGGCCAGTCCTCCTCAGTGGTTGGATATGCCAGAATTTAAAATCATACGCTTTATAAAGCTTATTTTCTTCCAGTAGGAGATCATTCCGCTACATTCCTGTCACAGCAAAATCGTCGATGCTTAGCACAAAACTGAACGCCAACAATGTGAGATGGTGACAGTGACACCATTTCACGGGGTTCAGAACGGTATGCTGTACATTCTCGTGGTTTCGAGTAGTGCAGTGAGATGCAGGGACTTCAGAAAAAAACCCTCGCCGTTCACTTCAGTCCACCACATGTATCGCGGTCCGCAATCCCTATCACCTCTTCTTCAGCAGATTCTGTGACACCCCTTCACTGGCCCGACAATGTCGCCGGCGCTCTTCAAGCACTCCTGGCTGTGGAACAACCCCCCTTTTTAACATCACATCGCATTCCGATGAATTTGACCACGATACGGTGTCACGTGGCGTTACACTCGCTCTCGCCGTTACAATCTCGTTATGAGACGTCTCAAAAACCGTTACGATTCATCGAACCGCAGCGCACATGCCGCTGCTCTTGCGGCCAAGAATCGACGCCGCAGCGACGATCGGCACCGAACGCGGAGAGGCGGCTGTTCAACGGCGAAAAGCGTCCCACGTCGTTTCTCGGATGGAGATCGCAGACCTCGCGATTACTGAATAAGTCGCAGCCACTGTGTCGCAGCCGTCGCCATCGCTGTCGCCGGGGAGAATGGCAGGCGGCCGCGACGGCAGGGGACGGAGAGCGGACAGGAGGAGAAAGGGGAGGTGGGGGAAGGGGAAGGGGAGGGGGAAAGGCGGATGGCGGATTAGGGTTGGCGCGGAGGGTGGTTGAGGAGCTTCCGGATGGGCGGAAGCACGATTTCGCTACAGTGCAGCACTGCGAGGACTTTTGGCTTATAGTGAGGCACCTGGTAAGGAGGCATTTGGTTGAAACGCACTCTGTCTGTCGTATGCAAGTACTGAACTCATTTCCCTCGGAATTCCTCCCCATCTTCCTTCCACCAATTCTTTCCATGTTCTCGTAGATTTACTCCTGCTCCCCTCAATTCCTTTTCTCTTCTCAACCCCCCTGCTCCCCACAATCACCACTGTTCCGCCCGATCACCCCTGCTCCCCCCCAATCCCCCCTGCTCCTCCAAATCTCCCCCTTTTTTCTCGATCCCCCCTGCTCCCCCCAGTCCCCCCCTTGTTCTCGATCCCCCCTGCTCCCCCCAACACCCCCCCCCCCTTTTACTCAATCGCCCCTGCCTTCCCCAATCCCCCCCCTTTGTCTCGATCTCCCCTGCTCCTCTCCTTGCGCTAGATGCCGTTGGCATTCCACACGCCTGCTCCAGGCGCAGATGGCTCTTCAGGTGATTCTTCAGGTGAAATGTCAAGTGGCACATTAGACAGCGACAACCTGAGTGCTGCGGAGAGGCTGCAGGCGCTGAAGCTGAGGCTGCAGCAGAAGCACAGAGCAGCAGAGGGGACAGGAGCAGGTGGGAAGATTAATAATGGCCATGGGGGAACGAGGATGGATGATGCTTATGGGAGCAGCAGAGGGGGTGATGGGGGTGGGAGGAGTGATGGGAGCAATGAAAATAATAGGAGCGATGCTGCGAAGAAGAGATACGATTTCGTGCAGTATCCACTGATTCGGCTTATTCACCGCACTCGGGACTGCTCGCCTGTCACAGAAAAGCTCCTGGGCAGCGTGAGTTTGGATCTAGTGGCGGATATGGCCGGCAAACTCACTGACGGCACCGGCAGCATCACTGCAGTGGTGGCCCCCCAGCTGGGGGCCCTGCATGACGTCATCCTCACCACTGAGGAACCTTCTGAGAAGCTTCCAGCTTCTGCTGGAGCTGTGGGGGGAGCAGTGGGGGGCGCTGTGGGGAAGATGATGGGGGGGAAGGTGGGGGAAGGGGTTGGGGGACTGGGGGGGACATTGGGGGGAGCGCTGGGGGGAGCGTTGGGGGGATTGATGGGGGGAAGGCGGGCTGCTGTTCCTGCTGGTAAGTCGGTGCGCAGTAGAAGAGGAGGGGTAAATGGGGCTGACAGCAACAGCAGCAGTACAGGTGGCGGTGGCAGCAGCAGTGGCAGCAGCAGTAGTCGGGGCAAGGAGCTGGACGGCATTCTTCGTCCTACTAATGGGCCGCGCGTGCACGTGCTGTGCAACGCACGTGTGGTGCAGATGCCGAGGGAGCGAGTGGAGCAGCTTGAGACGTGCCCCTGCCTGCCGGGAATAGCCGTACCTGTCATGGTTAGTACCCTGTAGGTGACTTTTGAGACGTCTCAAAAGTTGCCTGCCAGGGATAGGTGTACTTGTCATGGTGAGTACCCTGTAGGTGCTATGTGTGTGCTACACCTGCTAGTGAATGGGTGCATTTGTGCAACATACGTGTCGTTCAGATGCCGAGGGAGTGAGTGGAGCAACTTGAGACGTGCCCTTTCTTGCCTGGGATAACGCTCCCTATCACAGTAGGTAGGTAGTATGGGTAGTGCTGCAGTGGTAGGCACTGGTTAGTCCATCACGTATGGAGGCGGAATTGTTGGCTGGTGTCTATACTTTTGAGAATTCTCGAGAGTGATTTCAAGATGGACCAGCCACTTTCAACTCCGCCTCCATTGTCCCCTTTCAATTGCCTCCAACTACACATGTTAGCCCAACTCAGAATCTAATCCTGGCCCTCGCATCCCTTCCGTTACCCTCTCACTGTGTGCGTGTCATGCCTCATCATGTGAACCTACTCCTCGTCACTCATGGTTGGAAGGGCAGCAGTGCCAGAGAAAAGCTTTATCAAGAAAGAAAGAGAGTAAAAAGTACCCTCAGTGCGTGTCTCTCTTGCTCCCTCCCACACCCCTCTTCCCCCCATCCACTTTCGCCGTCCCCTTTTTTCCCCCCCTCTTGTACCTCCCCTCTTCTTCCCTCCCCTCTCCTCTCCCCCTCTCCTATCCTGCAACAGAGACCCCCGTGGGTGCGTGTGATGGCACACGACGAGAACCAACAGCAGCATGTGTATCTGGTATGTGTAAACAGTATGAATTGAGCTGTAGCATGCGGTATGCAGCGACTTTTGAGTCGACTCAAAAGTCACCTCTGCAGCAGCAGCATGTGTTCCTGGTACGTGTAATAAGTATCAATTGAGCTGTAGCATGTGGTATGTATGCAGCACGCGTACTTTGGGTGAGTATCGAGCAGCAGCAAGGTATGGAGGGTTGAGAATCCTCAAAAAGGGAGGATCAGGATGAGACCCACCGCCGACCCACCAGCCGTCAGAATAATGTCAGAAGACAAAGGGAGGATCAGGATGAGACCCGCAGCACGTTTGAACATGAACGTCTATTGAGGCGCCTCAAGACACGTGTGTGTAGTACATACATGCTATACATACATGCAGCAAGCAACACATGAGAGCATGTGCGCAGTGTATATGCTCCATGCATGGTACCTACCAGGTGTGGCATGGCGATGCATGTAGCCTGTGTACCTCGCAATGCACCATAGCCTTGCGTACATATTGGTGCGACTTTTGAGAATTCTCAAAAGTCACCTGTAATATATATCCCACCCTACGATCATCCTGTTGTCACCCCTTTCAACGCCTTAGACCCCCCTCCGCTCCCTCCCCTCAGCCTGTCCCATCCATCCTCTTGCTTCCCACTCCGCAACCCCCTTACTCCCTGTGCAGTTTAGGGGAGCAGCAGCGCGCTTGGTGCTTCGAGCCATGGACCACTGCCACGGCAGGCGGCTGCTGGACGTGCGTGCATTCATTCATCCCCTTGTATCCACCCTGGCAGTTCAAGGGAGCAGCAGCAGGTGCATTCATCCACCCCGGCAGTTCAAGGGAGCAGCAGCGCTCGGTTCTTCGGGCCATGGACCACTGTCACGGCAGGCTGCTGCTTGACGTGCAGTCACCTCCCTCACTCACTTCCTCACTCCCCTCGCCTTCCTCACTCCCATGAACCGCCCTTAACCACCCCGGCAGTTCAAGGGAGCAGCAGCATGCTTTGTGCTTCGGGCCATGGACCACTCTCACGGCAGGCTGCTGCTGGACGTGCAATCACCCCCGCCTACCTCCCTCATTCCCCTCACCCTGCTCACCGCCCTTAACCGCCCTCAACCGCCCTGCAGTTCAAGGGAGCAGCAGCCTGGTCCATTCTTCGAGCCATGGACCACTGTCACGGCAAGCTGCTGCTGGACGTGCAGTCACCTCTCTCTGCTCCCCATCGCCGTCAGCAGCAGCAGCAGCAGCAGCAGCGCCTGAAACAGCAGCAACAGCCAGAGGAACAGCAGCAGCAGCTGCGGAGGCTTGAGGCTGCTGAAGGCACCACCAGTTGCATGCCCAGAGCCGTCCCTCCCCGCATGGACAGCGATCGCTGCTTCGCAGCGTACCATGAGGCAGGGCATGCTCTTGTGGGGGCGCTGAGTCCGCTTGCTCGGGTGGGTGAAATAATGAGTGGGTGCAAGAGAGAGTGAGAGAGTGCGGTACGAATCCACCCTTACCCGCATAGACAGCGGTCGCTGCGTTGCAGCATACCATGAGGCTCTGAGTCCATGAGGCATACCATGAGGCTCTGATACCATGAGGCTCTGAGTCCATGAGGCTCTGATACCATGAGGCTCTGAGTCCCCTTGCTCGAGTGAGTGAGAGTGAAGGAGTGAGTAAGTGGCGTCTTGAGGCTGTGGAAGGCACCTCTTGCATGCCCAGATCTGTGTGAGCCTGGCTCCATACTTTGGGCATGTTTTAGAGTCGACTCAAAAATAAGGGCGTGTTACATTTTTCATTGTTTTCGTCCGGACGGCCAAACGTCCGGACGATTGTGTGGTTACGAAACTCGTTAAATCTCGGCAGTGAGTTCGTCAGGGTCTAAACGACGTCGCTTTCTTCGTATTGCATCCTTACGACATCGTATTAGTCGCAACGTGACCGAGCGACGTCGCAATCTTCGCACGCGTCCGGACAGTCGTCCGGACTTTCAGCGACTTCGAAAAATGTAACACGCCCTAACCTCTTGCATGCCCAGATCTGTGGAAGGCACCTCTTGCATGCCCAGATCTGTGTGAGCCTGGCTCCATACTTTTTGCAAGGGTGAGAGCATTTCATTTCATCTCATCCCATGCCATGCCATGCCATGCCATCCCATCCCATCCCATCCCATCCCATCCCATCCCATCCCATCCCATCCCATCCCATCCCATCCCATCCCATCTCATCCCATCCCATCCCAACCCATCCCACCCCGTGCCACCCCGTTCCACCCCATACCTCCATCGGCCAATCAGGTGGAGGGGGTGTATCTGGAGGACGAGGGCCAATCAGCAGCGCCGGGAGGGCCCTACCGGCCAATCAAGTACTGGGGGGGAACGGACATCGTGTGGCGAGGGGAGATTGAGCCAATCCCGTTGCGACAAGTGGTTGTTCACGCCATGGCCGTGTGGCTGGCTGGCATGGTAAGGGTTGGCTTGAGGTGGCAGGCAGGCCTACAGATAGCACGCACGCACACACATGCATGCACCCACATACGCGTACACATGCAAGCATGCCAGCGTGCGACAAGTGGTTGACCGACGCCATGGCTGTGTGGCTAGCTGGCGACGAGTGGTGAGGGCCCGTGCCCTGAGTGCCCAGCCAGGCACGTGCATGTTAAGGCCTGGCTGTAGGCGGCATGTGCATAAGTAGCAGGCACATGCGCCGCGCGTACACATGCATGCATGCCGGCATGCGACAGGTGGTGGTTCATGCTATGGCTGTGTGGCTAGCTGGCATCGTGAGGAGTGGCCGGAAAGTGGCAGGCATATAGATAGGACACACTTACGCATATACATGCATGCATGCTGTGGTGACAAGTTGTGGTTCACACCACGGCTGTGTGGCTAGCTGGCATGGTGAGGAGTGGCTGCAAGTGGCAGGCATATGGATTTTTGAGACTTCTCAAAAGGCAGATGGATAGGCATGTACATGCATGACTGTATACACATTCGCAGCATGCCCCTGTGACTTTTGAAGCGACTCAAAATGTTACCGTTGGAGGAATCGTCTCCAAGCCTAGCGGCTTGTTCACAAATGTTTTGTATACAATGCAACACGTTGTCTTTGCCCCACGTCCCTTGCGTCGAGAATTGGTTTGGGCATGCATGCATGCACTGGCAGAGCTTTAAAGCGTCGTAATAATTGTGTGCTTGCCTGAATTCGTTTCTTTTCTTTTATCCTTGCACTTCTATTCTCCCTATTTTACTGCTCGTTCAACTCCTTCATGCCTCAGCACTCGGCAATGTTTCTCCTCTCTCCTTCTCTCCACACCAGGCAGCAGAGGAGTTAATGTTTGGCCGAGTTGATTATTTCACTCGATCCGACGGCTGGTACTCATTCTCAGATGATCTTGCAAATGGTATGTACTTTTATTAGTTTCATTGTTGCATTTGCGTTGCATCTCATGTTCCATCTTTGTTTCCCCCTCAACCCCCCTCCAATTGTTTCTCCCGCTTTTCTCCCCCTTTACTCTTGCGAAACATTTTTCCTAAGCACCCCTACCCTACGTATCTTGCTTTCCCTCCTTTCCTCTCTCCTCTTCCCCCCGTCTCCTTGTCCCATCACATCTGCTCCGTTCCTGCGCCTGCGCTCTTTTGCCCTCCCATCTGCCCCCTTGCCCACGCCATCAGCTGCTGCGCTCGCCACGGCCTTTGCTCTCATCTGCCGCGCTCCAGAGGTGTGGGGTGCTGCACCCACCGCACCACAGGGGGAGGCGATACAGGCAAAGGCACCACAGGTGGGAAAGAATCAAGCAAGCAGTCAATCTGAAACCGAGTTCCAGCAACAACAGCAGCAGCAACAACAGCAACAGCATCAAGAACAGCTGCTGCAGCTGCTGCTGCAGAGTGCCATCCACACGCCGCGCATCACAGGCTGGCGTGTGCCCTCCTCCGCTGCCTTCCCTGACCTCTTTGGTGCCGGGCCGGACGACCTTAGAGCCTGGCCTGAACCCCTGGAGATGAGAGGTGGACAGGAGGGTCTGAGGGGAGGGATGGAGGAAGGCAAAGCAGAAGCAGCAGCAGGAGCAGGAGCAGGAGAAACAGCAGGAGCAGCAGCAGCGGCAGCAGTGAGACGAGTAGGGAGGGGCCTGGAGATGCCAGGGGTGGGAGCTCATGAGCAGAGGGTGCTGCAGGTGGTGCAGGAGGCAATGACACTGGCATCTTCCACTCTCCGGCAGCATGAGAGTGCCCTGCACGCCATTGCATGGTGCCTTGTGGATGCTGGGGAGGCGAGTGAGGGCGAGATCGCTGCTGCTGTCGCTGGTGCTGTTGTTGCTACCGGTAGTGCCAGTGTGAACACACACCACAAGGCTGTACATCCAGCTGCTGCAGGATGACTCCTTGAAGGCAGTGTTGCAGTTGGTGCAGGAGGCAATGGCCCTGGCTGGCGTGCTGCTATGTTGGAATATACGCTCAGACCCATAAGCGTATGCGTATATACGCTTGCGTATATACACAAAACGCTATACGCACGCTAATACGCTATACGCACTCAGAATTTTTTTGGGGCTGCCCGGGAAAAAAATCGAAAGTGTACGAGAAGATGCGGATTCTCCTGGTGAGCATTTCGCCGAAGTCGAAATGCAATTCGGCGGTCTAGGGGAGCGAGAATGTGCTTTTGAAGTATTCTGGTAGTTCCAACTTGACCTTTCGATTTGTACCGCATTGAAACCCATCCTACCTACAAACTCCAACCTGTCAAAAGTGTTCCCCCAACCACCTCACACTCACGCTACTTAGGGCGCATCACCTCGGGGCTGGAAGGCCCAAATCCGAACATACGTAACGAATTCACTGTACGAACAGTTTCCCGACGAGATCCGAACACAAATTTGAACACCCTGGTGAATGTGACAGCTCGAGACTAGAGGTGACAGCCTGTTCGAACATGCGACGTCGCCAAGTGTTGGACGGCTTCGCAAAACGTCGCAAGAAAATAATTCAGTCGTATGCCATTGAGTGGGCTCCATTTGTATTGGTGGGTTGAATTGGCGACACGAATTGGCCTTTGGGCAAGAGGCATGCGATTCGTGCTGAACGTGCGAGCACATTCTCGTTCATGGCGACGTCTGGCCGGGTCGCAAACGTTCATGGGCGACCCGGAAGACTGTGGACCAATCATATCAGTCGTTTGTGCGGAATTGTGTGTCACCTATCCCAACCTGTTCGAACAAACGTGTTCGAACGTGCGGGATGATGAAAATCGTGCTTGAGGTGACAGCTCTGTTCAAATTGGCGAAATTGTGCTTCGCGACGTCACGATCACCACTACGAACATAGGCGAAACGAGTAACGTTTCGCCTGTTCGAACGAGTGTGTTGTTCGAACCGACAGGTGAAGCGCCCTTACCAGCCAGCCAGCCAGCCCAACTGCACTCGAGATTTCTACTTTACATTCCCGCTTCCCAACAACTTTCCTTCCAATTCCTACTTCTAGCGATCTACTCCGCATCCCACCGCAACCACCGTTCAGACTTGGGAAAAGGCTAGCGAGTCTTACTGGGAATTGGGTAGGGAGTACCTACCTTCCCGGATGTTGAGCACGCAGTTTTTTTCACCCTGCCTGGGAAGGTGTTTTCCCTGCCCGGAAAAGCGTATGCCCAATCTGACCCTTACGCGTATGGCGTATACACGTTAGCGTATATACGAAACGCAAATATACGCTAAACGCGTAAATTCCAACATAGGCGTGCTGCACTCTACGGCAGCATGAGAGTGCCCTGCACGCCATTGCATGGTGCCTTGTGGATGCTGGGGAGGCGAGTGAGATCGCTGCTGCTGCTGGTTGTGCTGTTGTTGCTGGTGCCAGTGTGAACACACAACACAAGGCTGTGCATCCAGCTGCTGCAGGGTGAGACCCTTTTTGAACAGTCCTGCAGGTGGTGCAGGAGGCATTGGCCCTGGCGTGCTGCACTCTCCGGCAGCATGAGAGTGCTCTGCATGCCATTGCATGGTGCCTCGTGGGTGCTGGGGAGGCGAGTGAGAGTGACATCGCTACTACTGTTGCCAATTGTAACAATGAATACAAGGCTGTGGTCCCAACCCCAGCGGTTGCTGCAGCTGCAGGGTGATTGCTCTTGGTTGTTGCAGCTGCAGGGTGTGTCATCGGGGAATCCAGGTGGTTCAGGTGGCAATGGCCCTGGCGTCCTGCACTCTCACGCAACATGAGAGTGCTGGCGCCTCATGGGTGCTGGGGAGGCGATTGAGAGTGTCAGTTCTGCTGCTGCTGGTGCCGTTGTTAACATGCAGCACGGTGTAAATTAACCTGCAGCTGCTCCTGCTGCTGCAGCTGCAGGGTGAGGTGATTCCTCTCAGTGTGCCAGTAGGGAGCGTAGGTGGTGCAGGAGAAGGAGCCAATACCCGTCCAGCTGATCAAGAGGCTTGCAGGTGATTCCTCTGCGTGCCATCGTGTGAAACAAGGAAAAACAGGAATGAAATGACTATGGAAGATTGGGTACAAATACAACCCTAGAAACCCTGTACCCCATATGTGCTACCCCACTAAAGCCTGCAGAAACTATGTCATATAAATCTGACACACCCCCATAGGCAAATTGGGGGAGAACAAGGGGTCACAAGACCAGTCAGGTAAAGCAAAGCAGAGCAAGCTCAGGGTGGATCACAACGTCACCACACAGTCCGAGCACAAGAGCAGGGCCAGAGGCCAGTTCACATGCAGGAGTACTGACACATATATATATAGAACTAGACAAGCAAGAGCAGGTATAAATATATGTAACAGTACAAGTGAAGTCAAGAGGAGAGCAAGTGAGGCAAGACAGGCACAAGACCCAGCTGGGTGCAAAAGCGCTGATGGTCACAAGGCGCGAGTGCCTTGGTGAACACATCAGCAGTGTTGGCCTCAGCCGCCACGTACGCAAGTCGCAACTGACCACGCTGCTGCAGCTCACGAGCAAGGAAGTAGCGGAGAGCAATGTGCTTCGTTCTGTGCTCCAAGCGCTGCTCTCAACACAAGGCCAGCATGGCCTTGTTGTCTACGTACAGCACTAGAGGAGAACGAGACGGCTCTCCAAGGTCAGTCAGCAGGTAGGTGAGCCAGCGAAGCTCCTGTGCAGCCATGGCCCCGGCGTAGATCTCAGCCTCACAACTGGAGCCGAGAACCGAAGACGAGCGAGTAGACCGCCACGAGACAGAGCCGGAACCAAGGCTGAAGGTGTAACCCTGTGACGACCGCTGCGTAGCCTGGTCGTCAGCCCAAGAAGCGTCCGCGTGGCCGGTAAGGACCACTAGACTCCGCCCTCCAAGCACTAGCCCCATGCCCGACGTGCTGCACAGGTAGCGCAATACCCTCTTCGCTGCAGCCATGTGCTCTGGTCTGTGTCTCCCAGGAGCAACATAGCGAGCAAGAGTGCTCAGAGGGTATGCAAGGTCAGGTCGTGTGCAGGTCATCAGGTACATGAGTCAGCCAACAAGCTCTGCATACGGGCCACTCGACTCTACGGACTCATCCGAAGGCAGAGCTGAGAGTGAGTGGCGAGTAGGCAGAGGAGTGGCCTGAGGCGAGGAGTACGTGAAGCCGAAGCGCTGAAGGACCTGCTGCACCATGTGTGACTGAGTCAAGGTAATGGTGCGGCGTGCTCTGTCCCGAGTGATCTGCAAGCCAAGGTAGCTGCGCAGTTCACCCAGGTCTGTGCACGTGTGTCTCTTCAGCAGCTCGGACTTCACGTAGGCGAGTCCAGCAGTGTCCGCTGTGGCAAAGACCAAGTCGTCGACGTACACGAGGATGTAGAACGGCGGCAGGGAAGTGTCGGTGCGAAGAAACAGCGACGGGTCAGCAGTAGAAGGAGCAAACCCAAGAGCCGCAAGCGTAGTCCTCAGTGTGTCGTGCCACTCACGCGGTGCCTGGCGGAGACCGTAGACTGGCCGTCGGAGGCTCCACTGGGTGCCAGGAGGGAAAGTCCCAGTGAAGCCAGGTGGACGGCGAAGCCAGATCTCCTCGTGCAGGCTACCCTGCAAGAACGCAGTGCTGAAGTCGAGAGAGTGAAGCTCGTAGTCGCGCTGAGCGGCTATGTGCAGCAGCACCCGAAGAGTAGTCATCTTTGGGGTGGGAGAGAAGGTCTGAAAGTAGTCAACTCCTTGCCGCTGACTGAAGCCACGAGCAACGTACCGTGCCTTGAAGACAGGTGGAGAGCCCGGCGGCCGCTTCACCCTGAAGATCCACATGCCACTGACGATGTTCGCCCCAGGAGGGGGAACCGCGTCAACGTAGGTGCCTGTGGACTTCCAGGAAGCCATCTCTGCATCCATAGCTGCCTGCCACTGAGAGGAGTAGGGACCCTCTACGGCCTCCGCGTAAGAACGCGGAGTCGGGATGTCTAGTGCATCCGGGTCTCCCTCAGGGGCAAGCAGTACAGACGCGAGATGAGGTGAAGCAGCCGCTAGACACTGTAACTCCTCCTGCCTGTCCTCTAGGACGTCCGTGCCAAGAGCACACTCACCCGCGACGGACGGAGGACAGACAGACGCAGACTCAGCAACAAGACTAGCAGCGTAGTCGAGACGATAGCGAGCAGCAAAGTCGACGAGCTCAGCGACTAGAGCAGACGCAGCAGTGGACTCAAAAGAGGGGTCAGTGACGACAGTAGCAAGCAGACGCGTGACAGTAAGACTGGCAGCACGAAGAGAGTCCGACTCAGGGTCGGCAAGCGCAGGAAGAGAGGACTCAGGAGGAGAAGGCAAAGAGGCACGCAGAGGAGCAGTGGACGGACGCAAAGACATCCGGTGCGTGCCAGGGACAGGAGGAGGACGCTGACGCGAACTGCGACCACTAGCGCGAGCAGCACGAACAGGCGACGCGGGACGAGACGCAGGCTCACGACGCTCAGCAAGACCCCCAGTAGGACCAGTGTAAGGAGAGGGAGCAGGCAGTGGAGAGGAAGGCTCCAGCAGGGACTGCGACTGGACAGGCGGTGGACCCTCTACTAGAGGAGAAAGACCAAGAACCTGCTGTAGGAGCGGAACGAAGTACGGCCGAGGCCGCGCGGCAGCTCCAGACTCAGCAGGGACAGCACCAGCACCCTCAGCGACAGCACCAGCGCCACCCACACCTCCAGCGGCAGGTCCAACAGCAGTAGGCTCAGCACCAACGCCCTCAGCAGCTCCAGCTCCAGGAGGACCAGTAGGTCCAGCAGCTCCGGGACCGGCAGCACCCGCACCCTCGACGGTCGAAGAAGCTCCAGCTCCAGCTCCAGCAGCACCTCCTGGCTCAGCAGCACGCCTCCAGCGGCGAGCGAACCACTCGCGCAGCTCCTGCGGAGAGAGGGGCTCCCGGCGAGACGCAGCAGCAGGAGAAACCCCAGGCTCAGCAGCTCCAGACG